GGGGTCAGATGCCATTAGGGAGCAATCCCTCTTGAGCCGATTTAACTTCAGGTTGGGTTAGGGGTGAGGCCTTGGCCAACCTAACCCAATCCAAAMCTGACATGTCTTTATATTTGTATGTATAATAAATCTTGCATAAATATGTATGTATGTATGTTTTTATGCATGCATGCATTCGTGAGCATGTGTACTTGTGTATATGTATAAATGAATTTAAGTTTGAAGGCAAAAATATTCTAGTATTATATAAATATAGTACTCCTAAAGCACCATGACTTTGTCCTTGTACATATTATATTGCTAAAGCCAGTGAACTTTAATAGGTCTTAGATATAAGAACATTTTAACATAACCCTCTGATAGCTCGGGTATAGACCTTCCAGTTCTGGAAGTTTGGGGCAAGCTGATCCCCCCAAGGATTGGTGCTTTTTGTTGGGAAGCCTTTTTGGGAAAATGTAACACTTGTGACTTGCTCCAGAGAAAAAGACCTAATTGGTGCATCCTTTGTAAGGCAAATGGTGAGAGTTGCTATCAGTTACTAATATCTTGCTCTCTTGTTTCATATATTTGGGAATGGTTTTTCTCTTTATTTGGTTGCAGATGGACGCCCCCGCCAGATGTACAAAGCTTGTTCGCCTCTTCCTTTTTTCAGGTGGCTAAAGAAGAGGGGCAGAATTCTTTGGAGATGTGTCAGAGCTGCCATATGCTGGACAATGTGGGAAGAAAGAAATTTAAGGATCTTTAATGAAAAGGAGAGGAATAAGGAGGTCATTATTGAAACAATTACTATTAGAGTGGTGCATTGGGTGAAATCTCTAGATTTGTTTGAGAATATCTCCGCAGATATGATAAGAAAGAAATTGGAAGGAAGTGGCCAACTCAACACCTGCTAAAACCAAGATAAGTCCCATTTGGTCTCCCTCGACCTTTGGCTTTACTGAGATGAACTTTGATGGGAGTAGTGAAGGTAATTCAGGGCCTTCTAGAATTGGAGGAACCTTTAGGGATGAAGATGGGAAGGCCATTGCTCTATTCTCTAGCCCTAATGGTGTAGGTGATTCTCTTTGAGCTGAGATTTTGGCTGTGATGGAAGGAATGAAGGCAGCGCTAGAGCTGGGCTGCCACAAGCTCATTATTGAAGTTGATTCAAAATCGGTTATAGGATGGCTGCAAGAGGAGAAAAGTGGTCTTTGGAAGTTTGCTAATGAAAAAAGAATGTTCAACCAGCGAACACAAGGTGTGGAGATTCAGTTTCAATGGGTAAAAAGGTGTGCTAACTCTTTTGCGGATACCCTTGCTAAGCAAGGGGTGGGAAGGGAAAAATTGTTTTGGGCTATTCTGTAATTGAATCATATTTCTTTGGGGAGGGTTAAGAGAGTTTATCCCTTCCTAGTCCTTTGTACTTCTTTCTTTATTGAAAGTTTAATGAAGGTTTGTTATAGATCTAGAAAAAAAAAAGAAAGAAAGAAAAAAAAATGAAAGAGGAAAGAAAGAACGTAAGTATAAAGAGGTTATTTTTTTCTATTCTCTCTCTCTAATTAAATAAAACAGAAATTTCATCCTTGTTTTTTTTCCTATTTTACTTTCCATTTTTAATATTTATCATATGAAGTTAATAACTTTCTTTAACTACTAATTGATATGAAATTGCTCTATTAAATACTAATTATAGTCGTATTATTTTTGAAAATAATGAAAGATTTTTATCTTTAAGATGTGATGATTTGCCACATTTTAGAGGAAATTTAATGTTCTTAATAAAGAGAATTGCTATTTTTTTCAATTAATATACATGCTAAATGGTATATAAAACTTGGGAACTAGCTAAAAGTTCTTTATATTGTAAAATTCTTATCGCCTAGGCGTTGCCTAGGTGCCCAGTGTCGCCCAAAAGTTCTGGTTTTGGTGATACCTTGTCTCCAATTTGTATCTTTTTTTTTGTTCTATTATAAAATCCTCTTTACTGTAAAAATATACAATGAGAATGGTTCTATAATTAGTAACAAACTTAGCGAATTTGAGTTGAGATGTATAATTTAAGAATCAATAAGAAAATTTGAGAGAGAGAGAGAGAGAGAGAGAGAGAGTTTCTTGTCTAACAGAAATTTGAAGCCTTAGTTTAAACAACTATTTATTGTTTTTCAGGTGGACAATTTTATCCATGCAGACATGCATCCAGGAAATATCCTTGTCCGTGTATCTCAGAGCAAATCTTCACGGAAAAGGCTTTTTAAATCCAGACCTCATGTCGTTTTCCTTGATGTAGGCATGACGGCTGAACTTTCTAAGAGTGATCGAATTAATTTACTGGAGTTCTTTAAGGCTGTTGCCCTTAGAGATGGCCGCACAGCAGCAGAGTGCACCCTGAGATTATCGAAACAACAAAACTGTCCGAATCCAAAAGCTTTCATTGAGGTAATAAAAGATATCTAGTTTAAACGGAAACATATTGATTTTACACTTCTTTCTGGAATTTTTCACTTGTCCAAAAGCCAAACATATCTCTTTTACTCAACCTACAATATTGTGCTTTTTATTTCTTAGGATAGATTGTACAATTACCATGCCTAATTGGGAAATTTGTGTTACTTGATTCGTGGATATGAAAGATCTTGTGTACCCAAAATGTTGGTAGGAGAATCTTGCTACCTTGATGATCTTGATTTTCCTTATGTTCCATCTTCTCTAGCATATGATGCAGGAAGTCCTGATTCATAATGAGCTAGGTCTTACTTGATTTTTGTTAGTGAACTAGTCTTGGGGAAGTATGTTTATCCCTTGTACGATGTCTAAGACTTGTGTTCTATATGTACAAAACATAGTTTTGAAGCTGCGAAGGTGAAGCTAGGTGACCAAGTAGTGCCTAGAAGCCTAGGTGCCCGCCCAGTGACGAGTTTTGCAAGTAAAAACCTCTAAATCCTACATCGATTTCTTATTTTGCATGGTAATCAACAATTATCTAAACTGATAATGAGCAATAATATTCAAAACATAAAAATAATCATATTCATGAGGAAACATTTAAATTTATTAATTTCAATATTTCAAATATAATATTGCAATAGAATAATAAAGTAAACTGTGAATATGGTACTTCTATTACCAATCATCCCTTAAGTTTTTACATAACTTTTCTTAAAACATTCTCAAGCACATAGTATTCACAAAAAGACAAAGGAAAGTCATAAGCCAATAAATCATGTGTTATTCAGCCATTTCACCATCCTTTATTAAACAGCCCCTAAAGATAAGTTTTCACATAATTTTTCTTCAATTAAAACATTCACATAATCTGCTTACATGATCTTAATTTAGATTTTAGGGTGTAAAATTCCCAAAGAGGAAAAAAGGCATTCGTGTATAATAAAAATAGATGCAGAAAATGGGTTGAAGTAGTAAGAAATGGTTTAAGCATTCATAATTTAACAATGAAAATAGCACTGAACAGAACGGAATGGTGAAACAGGATTCATGTAGTCAACCCCATATAATTAGGACAAGGGTTAGATGATGGTGATGATGTTTATTTTAATAAACTGAATCAAGCAATCAAAATATGCTTTTTTTGATAGGTAACCAGTCAACCGATCAAAATATGTTAAGCTTGTTTTAAAGTGCCTTCCAACTTTCCTTAGTGCCTAGGTCCCTGCCTATACCTAGGCATGTGCCTAATGGGTTTTGAGATATTTAATTGAAGGTGCTAGATCTAGAAATTAGAGCAGCATTCTTAAGGCACATTCAATCAAAGCTTCAACAGTGGCCTGAAAATGCACAACATCTTGAGTTACATATTATATTAATGAATTCTTTTTTTTTTTTTTAATTTATTGTGTGTGTGTGTTTGTGTTGTATTAATGAATTTTGTGCATCAGGAGTCAGAACTTGTTTATTTTCTGGTGTTCTGGTTCAGAAATGCTGTACAGAGAACAACTGTTTTGCCTCTGGCAATTAATATATGCAGACATATATCTTTTTGGCTTTGTTTTTACTATATATGTTTTACCAGGAAGTAGAGAAGTCATTCAATTTCTGGGGCACCCCAGAAGGTGATGTTGTCCATCCTGCTGAATGCATGCAACAATTGCTTGAGAAAGTCCGGCGTCATAAAGTCAATATTGACGGCAATGTTTGCACAGTGATGGTGACCACATTGGTTCTTGAGGTAATTTCCTTTCATTCATTTGTCTTTCATTTTATATTTTTGTGTTAGCAATAGCGTTATGTGTACCTGCATGTCTTTGACTTGTGAATGAATCAAAATTAACACATTATTAGAATGTTAACCATGCATGTCAGAAAAAGATATTCCTTTTGAAAATGTTTTTATTTTTTTGAAGAAAGTAACAATTTCATCAAAAGATAAAAACATAGGGTACATGAGGACATGTACAGCTGCAAACAATGACTCTCCAATGAAATTACAAGGGTAACATGCAGTCATTTTACTCAAGGAGACCATAGAGATATAATTATGAATTTATTTATTTCTTTGTCCCCAAAACCAATGATACCTGGATGCCTATACTAGTATTATCAAAATTTTGACTAGTTGATCAACTAGTTAGTTGAGGGCCATACTCATTGCATCACTAACTGGTCTATTGATACACATGATGCAGTTGACTGGGGAAACTATACATTGACTAGGTCAACTAGTTGACCATAATGTTAATAGTAGAAATCACTAATTGCAGATTTAGTCGAGTTTCTTGTGAAAGAAAAGGGGGGAAGATGAAGATTTCAGCAGTAGAGAAGAAAGGAGGAGAAGAAAAGAGTAGAAAGTCAACCAGGATTGTAAAACTAACCCTAGCCGCCTACCTCTCATTATATTTATACTTAACTTAAAGGATGAGATATTACATGGATGCCCTTAGTAGGGCGGCTACTAATATGGCTGAACAGTCACAACTTAAAAAAAAAACATAAACTAATGGGTCTAAAGCCCAACAACTTCCTAGCTAAATAAAAACAACTCGGACCAACTCAACACTCCCCCTCAAGTTGGGAGTAAATGTCACATATTCCCAACTTGCGTAGATCATGCTCCAGCTTGTTCTTTGCAACACCTTTTGTAAGAACATCAGCGAGCTGCATATCAGAAGCAATGTATGGTAGACAAACTTCTCCAGAAGTTACCCTTTCTCTAATAAAATGTCTATCCACCTCAATATGCTTAGTTTGGTCATGCTGAACTGGGTTATGGGCAATGTTAATTGCTGCCTGGTTATCACAGTATAGCATCATAGGTTCTTCTGCCTGTACACTAATTTCTTTTAACAGGGAACGGATCCAGAGAAGTTCTGAAACTCCATGTGCCGTGGTCCTATATTCAGCTTCAACACTTGATCTTGCCACCACTGTTTGTTTCTTACTCTTCCATGAGACAAGNGACAAGGTTACCCCCAACAAGGGTGCACACTCCTGAAGTTGATCTCCTGTCATCAAGGCTTCCTGCCCAATCTGCATCTGTATAAGCCTCTAGTTTCAACTRTCCATGATYADTRAACAATATGCCTCTGCCCGGGTGTCCCTTCAGATAAGCAAGAATCCTGTCAACTGCCTCCCAATGCTGGACTCGTGGAGCATGTATGTATTGACTTACTACACTTACTGCATAGGAAATGTCTGGTCTTGTCATACACAAGTATAGCAACCGACCCACAAGTCTCTGATATCTCCCAATGTCCTTTAATGGTTCACCTTCTGATGCATTGATTTTATGGTTCTGATCAATAGGGGTGCTGATTGCCTTTGTTCCAAGCTTCCCTGTCTCTTGAAGAAGATCCAAGACATACCTCCTTTGAGAGATAAAAATTCCATGTTTTGATCTTGCAACTTCAATGCCCAAGAAGTATCTTAGTTCTCCAAGATCCTTAATTTCAAATTCTTTATGTAGGTTCCTTTTCAGACTATCAATTTCACTCAGATCATTCCCGGTGACAACAATATCATCCACATAAACAATTAGGACAGACACCAAAGATCCCCTTCGCTTCACAAACAAGGTGTGATCGGATTGAGTCTGAGTGTAGCCAAAAGCAATCAAGGGCCAAGAGTATGACTTCTTAAGCCTGCATACCTTTATCTTTTCAGTATCATTGCAAAAGCCAGCAGGAAGATCCATATACACTTCTTGCAGATCCCCATTTAGGAAAGCATTCTTCACATCAAGTTGAAACAAGGGCCAAGAGTATGAGGCAGCAAGAGAAAGAAGTATCCGAACAGAGGTCATCTTTGCAACTGGTGCAAAGGTCTCTAATTAATCAATGCCATAGGTCTATGTGTACCCTTTTGCAACAAGTCTTGTCTTGTACCTTTCTTTATTTCCATTTGCCTTATATTTTACTGTGCAAACCCATCTGCATCCAACTGTCTCCTTGCCTTCTGATAGATCTACAATGTCCCACGTCTGATTCTTAATCAAATTTGTCATCTCTCCCTGCATAGCTGTTTTCCACTCGGGTTTGGAGCCTCACTAACACCCTTGGGTATAGACACTGAATCAAGAGAGGAAAGAAAAGCACGGTAGGAAGGAGAAAGTCCACTGTAGGACAAGTACTGTGAAATACAATGAGCAGTACACTTTCTCTTCCCTTTTCTGAGAGCAATAGGGAGATCAAGGTTATCTGTAACAGTGTTAATAGAATCAATGGGAACTGAAATAGTTGCGGGACTAAGAGGAATACCTGAATCCATGTCAGCCGAATCTGGAGTCTCCAAGGAATCGACAGGAAGTGATGTGAGTTCTGCTAGTGGAATCAACCTCCTTGTGAAGTCTCTATCGTAAGTAATGTTGAGAAGCAGAACGCAAAGGAGGTGGCAAGGTAGGTGACACAGGGTGGTGGTCCAGCACAGGAGTAGACACAAGGACTGGAGCTGGGAGAGGAATAG